GGCACTTTTGGATGCTGTGTCAAAAATAGTTTGTTTACAGTAATGGTTGATGAACTTCGACTGTTTTAGCACGTCTTTTTTTTTCTTAAATTTGGCAACACGTTTTATAATGATCTAGCATACCTGTTTTTTGTGATATTCTGCAAGTGTATTAGAGTCCGTCACATGCACTGTTGTTTACTTCTTCACTCCGCCATTGCATACTATTATACATTAATACATAATTTAGATCTAGCTCTGGCTTTGTCAAGAATATTGTTGACAGTCATTTGAGCACTGTCTTGTAATTCAAATTATTTTTATCTCAGGCCATTATGGAGATAATTACATGTTTGTCTGGCACTTTTGGATGCTGTGTCAAAAATAGTTTGTTTACAGTAATGGTTGATGAACTTCGACTGTTTTAGCACGTCTTTTTTTTCTTAAAATTGGCAACACGTTTTATAATGATCTAGCATACCTGTTTTTTGTGATATTATACGGTAGGGATAACGGCCTTTGAAATCCAATCGTTTGTTGTGGCGTTGAGGGTGCAAGTGTATTAGAGTCCGTCACATGCACTGTTGTTTACTTCTTCACTCCGCCATTGCATACTATTATACATTAATACATAATTTAGATCTAGCTCTGGCTTTGTCAAGAATATTGTTGACAGTCATTTGAGCACTGTCTTGTAATTCAAATTATTTTTATCTCAGGCCATTATGGAGATAATTACATGTTTGTCTGGCACTTTTGGATGCTGTGTCAAAAATAGTTTGTTTACAGTAATGGTTGATGAACTTCGACTGTTTTAGCACGTCTTTTTTTTTCTTAAATTTGGCAACACGTTTTATAATGATCTAGCATACCTGTTTTTTGTGATATTCAAAATGCAGGCTTAAGTCAGGTAGTAAAATACCATTAGATGCTGGCTTTGTTAAAGGGATGACATTTCTGTCATTATTTACTCAACCTCATGTCATATCAAACCCGTAAGACTTATGCTAGTCGTTCAAACACAAATGAAGATATTATTAATAAAACCTAAGTGTCTTTTGGCCCTCCATTGAATGTCAAATAAATCGAATCATTGATGCTTCAGAGAGTGAGATTGTAAAAGAAAAATAGTCATCTCTTCAGAAGACTTGGATTAAACCGCATATTTCATTTTGTTTGCAATATCTTTATGAGCTTTTTGAAACATTGAAGTTTTGGTGGATTGGAATTTCATTAAACCAGTATTTTGTGTTTCAAAGATGAACAACATGAGAGTGAGTAATGGTAACAGAATAGTACATTTTTGGGTGAACTGTCCCTTTAAACCAGACCTTATTAGGACTAGCCTAGTTTAACAGGCATTAATACTAGAGCAAAAATGTCCGCTTTAAAAGGGGAAGTAATCTTGATAGAATAACTTGAACACCACTGTGCTTTTTAAATTTATTTACTCTCACTCATACAAAAAAGAAAGTGCAACTGGATTTCATAAATGGTCTTTTATAAACGGGATTTGTTATGTACGGAATATTCTTTGGTTTCTCTTGTAATGATACCACATGTTCTCAGTTTGGAGAACAGACTATTGGCAGCATTCTGTGTACCAGCACTTGTGTTGTAACGCTTGTGCCATTTTCCAGACCCACAAATATCCTCGATTCATGCACATCATCAAAATGATTTCTTATCTATGAAAACAAGGCTGTGAGGGATAGAAGTACAGTGCGGTTCAGTGGCTTCTATTGTTGTTTAACAACATACTGAATGTTCAGCTGACAAAATGTCTTTCCAAAACAAAAAAAAGAAGAAAAATCAGTAGACAGACTGCATAAAACTTTTGAATGTTGATAAAAATTATGTGATGTACAGTATAGTAGGACCTTTATATGGTGCTTTCCATTTTTAAAGACTAATAAGTCTGTCCCCCAGAGCCTCATTTTCATGCATATTAAGTTCAATATGGTGTCTGACCAGATTAAGGTCTATACATAATATGGTATGATTTGAGATCTTGGTACTTTTTAAGATCCATATGAACTGATATAAAAATCTGTTTTTTTAAGTTTTGAGAGATTACCAATGTGCTGGCTAATATTATATATTTATACAGTGAAGTGAGTGTGGCCAAGTATGGTGTCCCATACTTGGAATTAGTGCTCTGCATTTAACCCATCCAAGTGCACACACACACAGCAGTGAACACACACACACACCATGAACACACACCCAGAGCAGTGGGCAGCCACTGGAAACATTTTCCACTATAAAGAACTTTTCGTGCAGTGGAAAGGTTCCATGGATGGTAAAGATTCTTCATGGAACCATCAATGCCAGTCAAGTGTCTGTTACCTGGTATATATATATATTTGAGTTGGAAATAATCCCCAATGCTATTCCAATATCGACTAATATTAATTATAAGGTCATTGATTTATCACGCATTCTTGCTTTAAGAGCATCTGTGAGGCTGTGTTTGGCATAGAGCAGCCGGTGATCTCCAACATGCTGCCTGTTCTTACAG